TAACATATTATAAATAATAATAATTATATAGATGCACATTTAACATGTGTTTTACCCCTTGAACGAGCGGTAATGACTTGTGAATATTATTTCATAACTTCATCGTTAATAAGTATCTTTGAACACTCAACCCTAAAGTGATACTGATATTTTAGAGCTCTACACAGAGTGATTGGGGCAGATCGGCGATCGGATGATACAACTGATTGAGTGAAGGATACATCTCACAGTGATAGAAATTTGATTATAACCCAATGCGATAAAGATTTGATATAACTCAAAGCGAGAGATATATGATACAGGATGAAGATATGATACAACGTACTCTATGTGATTCAGTCAAAACTTAAATAGATTTGATACTGTTCAGGGTAATACAGATTCAGGGTGAATACTCTATAGAGATAGAGAATTGATACAAATAACAGAGATAGGTATTAATTTGGTACAGAGATTTGATATAACTCAGATAAATAGATACAGAGATTTGATACAACTCAAAGCAGCATAATACAGATTAGATACAACTTAGCCAGACAAATCTGAATTAATGCAATTTATTGTGATTGAGAATTGATACAACTCAGAGCAATAGAGAATTGATACAACTCAGAGTGATAGAGAATTGAAGCAATTTATTGTGATTGAGAATTGATACAACTCAGAGCAATAGAAAATTGATACAACTCAGAGCAATAGAAAATTGATACAACTCAGAGCAATAGAGAATTGACACAACCCAGAGTGATAGAGAATTGATACAACTCAGAGTGGTAGAGAATTGATACATGGTGATACAACTTTTATCGATAGAGATCTCCCTGAATGATGAAAATATGAAATAATCTACAGAGCCCATATATATAATACATGCTGTATAAAGCAATACAAATTTAATATTTTTAATCTAATTTGATAAAGAGTTGATACTGCTCCAATGTTACCTACATTGTGAGCCATGGTTTGATATTATTCATTTGATGGAGCCTGAAAATGACACATATTATTTTGATGTCGACCAGGGCTAGGATACAAGTGTTTAAACTGATAAAGATCTATTGGCATTTGTTTTATGGTGTATTCGAAGCTTCCGTTCTTTAGGTCGTAAGTCAGGGTCACATCGTTTCAATCCTTTCAATCATTTAATTCATTTATATTTCAATTGGCAGTTTGTTTCCAGTAGGCTATTCATACTGACTGCAATTGAACAACCAACTCTGAATTATTCATTACATCAAGGTCTGGATATTCCAGTCTGCTGAACTGAAAGTACTTAAAGGGAGGTAACAACGGTTTTCGTGTCATTTTTGTTGTAAAAAACAAGTAGGCTACATATATTACATTAATAATCATATTGTGATTGACAAAGTCAAATTATTATATGAAATTGCGTACATAATCTTTAGATTTGGTTACACTAAGAGGCCATTGATGGACGTAATAAGCGGCTTAACGGATATCAGAATTATTCTTCTAAGTAAATGAACAATTTGACATTTAGGCTATGTATATTTCATTTTTGAGGACGATCATAGAACCCCAACAGTTCTGCTAGAAAATTGATCTTGCATTGGTAAATTGACAAATAGAAACAGGCTTCACGAAATACTTATTTGTTAACTTAAAAAATAGCCTCCTGATTTTATTAATGACAATAATAAATAGTTATTTGTGTTCATGATATATAAACAGCACCCAAAAAAGGCTACTACTACAGGAAGAATTCTCACCCATTTTCGCCTGCTTTCATGTGTTTTGCACCTCCTCCACTTTTCTTTACGTTCACGACTTCGTATAATATCAATTTTGATAGTAATATTATCTTTACAGCTATCAGCAAAATCTTGAAACAATGGTAAAATTAGGCCAATGCATTGTCCTAGTTCAATTTTATTTTATCGCTGTCCTATCCTCGACTACAGACTACACTTCGTTAGTTATGGGGTAGTCTCGATTGACATGGACGGTCTCTGTTTCTGAGCCTCATTCAAACTTATACAAAAACAGTGACTGTAGTATATTAATTATTATATAATATAATCTTTATCTCTAAATGTACGCCACTGCGTCCAAGATGTTATTCTTCAATCCATCATGTATCCACAATAAGTTTTAGCGCATCATTGACATTTTGATTAAAATACATATGTGTTTGTGTCTATTAGAGGGGGTGTACTATGTACAGGTGTGTACTATATACAATATTTTACTATAATATTATACTCGTACGTACTATACATTGGTGTGTAATGATACATTGCTGGTACTATATACATGTGTGTACTATTCACATGACTGGTGCGTACTATACATTAGGGTGCACTATATACTATTATGTACTATACACTGATGCAAGTGCGTATTATATACTGGTGCGCACCATATTCAGGTGTACACCATACACAGATGCGTACATATAATGATAAGAGGAAATATATCTATCTGTACAGATTTTTTTCATTTTAAAGGTATGGTTTTATCCTTTTTTTATTCTTTAATCTGGCAACACTGCAGCGTTTCCTTGAGGAGCGTTCTGGCACCAGGGGTTACTGGGAGTTTAGGAACTTGAAGTATGAGTGGAGGAAACACTGAAACAGATTGAAAAGTTAATGAACTTGTGTTAACGTATACAGTGGTGTAACCTATTTTCGTACATATAAGGATTCAACAGCGAATTTCGTCAGAGTTAAAAAAAAAAACGCATTTTCGTGTACAATGTTTGATCTATAAATAAGTCGAGTAAAACACGTTGTATGGACACCCAGTGACATAATTAACTTCTCTTAGTATTTATCTTTAATATCAATTCATTATAACTAGTGACAATTCCTTCAAAGATTTAAAACAAAATATCGACTGACAAAGTAAGATAGGTAGCGTGATTTAATGCTAAAAAACATTGAAACACATTGCGTTCCATAGAATTTTTTTGCTGACACTAGTTGATCACATGACTTCATTCGTTGGACTACATTCTAGCAGACGACACTTGGAATTCCAATTACAGCTAGGGATTATAAGGAAATTCGGCTAATAAAAAATTGTGAAGTTTGGTAATAACTGAAATCCGGCATTTTGTATTTGTCAAAGTATACATTAATAATTTAATAGACTTTACCGTGCCTGAACCTAATGTATTCATTGTGCTAGCAGATATTGTACAGAAAACCAATGTTTATCAAAACAAGCAAATGCGGAGGTCACGCGAGGTTGCACATGTAAATTATTAATTCTATCCGGAAATGCACGAAAAATAGGTTGGCACAAAATTAGGTTACTTGACTGTATATGATGTTGTCAAATCTGACTCCTGTTCATGAAGTGTTATTTAATAGTCTCAAATCGTTAGTATCATATTATATTCTTTCAGAATTATCCTCTTGGAATTTAACATTTGTTTTTAATGTAATCTCTATTACTAGATGTCGCTGAAGGATTATTACTATATAGTTGTTTAAATCCTAATGTCTTCAACACAAAATTTTATTTTTGCTTTCATAGCAACAAGAAGTGAATCTGGGACATCTGCTTGGGTGTCTACACAGTTTTCAGTCTGACTACAACTCCTAATCCTACCTGTTCCATTTTCACATTAAACAAAAGCTTGATAATAGAGTGAGCAGTATTGTTCATGTATAGTGTCTGTAAGTGAACCTGCGACAGAAAAACCATTTTAAACATTAAATTTCTTTAAAATTTCTGTATATACATGTACATGACGGACCGGCAACTCGGAAATACGTATGTTAAATTATTGCTGATTGGTTCATTAACCGGTAACCCGTTTTGTTCGCTTATCGCTACGATGTGAAGCAATAAATGGACCATTTTAATTGGTTCATTAACGATTGGTCCGGGGGATTCAAAAGACATTTTTCCGCTGTTTGTGACTTAAAGGGACAAATACTGTATTTTAAGAGAAAACCACACCTTGGTATCAGAATTGTTCCTTTAAAGTAATCAACTGATGTTAACAGCTTACCGTCGAGATTTCAGCATTCAAATTCAAGTTTATCCATAATTATTTATACTTGAAAGTTATTCAGTCATCATTTTAAGATTTTTATAATTATGACGTCATGTAGTAAACTCAATCATCCTGTCCTACAGCTGCAACGGAAGATTTCTTGACACCAGGACGAGATAAAAAGTGCCCCATTTACGTTACAGTAAACTTAAGTGGTCTGAGAACGGTTCTTCTGTTGCAGGGTAAATGAAAAGCGTTCGCGGCACGGTTATCTGTGGAACACTTCTTGAAGAAGTTAAAAAAAGGTGAAGGTCGTTTGTAGGGCATTCGCAGTAAAGCGCTCTCGGACCGGAGAACGGATAAATTTTATAATGTAAAATAGTTTTTTATCAACAAGACGTTCCATTTTCGGATGTCCCAAATTTCAGAGAGAAGAAAAGCATGTAAACGAAATAATACAAAAGTTAAATTTCTTGTTTGAGGTCTTTTTTTAAAGTATTATGCGATTTTCGCATACAGTTCTAGTGGTTCACATAATTATTATATTGAAGGTTTAAATAGGTAGGGCCCTTTGATTTTTTTTACCATAATCTGGTGCCTGTTAGTTATTAGTATAGGCAGAAATAATCCCTTACAGAAATAACTTAGTTGGAAACTATATAATCTTAGGGAGTTATAGATGTCAGTTTTTACTGTTTTTATACTTTGTTGTTCTGTTTTCTATCATTATTGATAAAGATTCCTGTATGTGAATTAATACGTTGCAAAAATTAAAGTAAGGAGTAGTATATCCATAATAGTGTTCTTATTTATTTAACTATATAGTTGTTTAAATATAGCTTTTTCCAGGGTATTATGCCAGTTCTTGTAGTCAGAAGTGGTGCATTCAAAGCCCAGTCCTGTTTTCTGCAAAACCGTGTTTAAAGGAGACATGTCATGTTATTTTGAAGCTGGTGCATGCTTAGATTTGACGTCATATTTTCAACGCGTCATCCAAACATTGCTTGATTTATACGCCATATTTTTAAGTCAACAAAGACATTTTAAGCGACTGTTGACGAGACTTTGGACTTTGAAAATTCCATGTCAAATAAAGGCGAAGACATGGATGAATCTGCTAACGAAAAGATTGATTGGCTGCGACGAAAACTGGTTTTAGTTTTTGGAATTGTGTACAGTGCTGTTGTGATACTTCCGGTTATATTAACTCTACTTATTTGGTGAGTTAAAACTCCATACACAATTAGGGCCTGTGGAATTAATTGGGTTGAGGCTCCTCATCCGGGAATTTTTTTCAACATATTATATTATGCTCTCCCGTATCCTGAGACACAGTGGAGTTTCTGGCAAACATCAGGTGAAGGGCCGAACCTAAGTTTCGAGGGTGGAGGGGAGGGTGGAGGGGAGGGGGGGGGGTGGTGGTTGGAGTGTGCACAGGTCATTCTTTCACTATGCAAAATGATAAAAAAAATTGAAAGTGGGGGTCAAAACCCAGGACAGCCTCTTTTAGGCCTACTGATATCAACTGACCCCACCTTTGTATCCACAAAGATGGTGTGTTAGGTGAACTGTAGGCCTATCCGAACTGTGGTTAAAGCGGTGATTACATGGAAGATTTATCCTAAGCATTTATATCTTGGCCTATTAGTTAAATCCTACTAAACAAAAATATAATCTTAGGTCCTCGTTATCGGAGGACTCGACACCTAAACAATCTACAATTTCTATTAATGATTCTCTTTTTACTCATAAATAAAATTAACCGAGATACTTTCGAGATTGCATTCTATACATTTTATTCATGGACTTTTGAATTGTATTTGATAATCAATAGTACGATACAAAATAATATTATATAAATATAGTCTTAATTATTTCACGTTTAGGTTTACTTTGTTTTATATTACAATTGTTTAAAAAGTAAGTCCCCCTAACGAACCATGGGAAGAGACTGGTAAATTAGCTAACATGTCTCCAAATGCCAGTGTTTTTCCCGAAAGTCTTCTGACATATTACAGAAGACATGGTGGTGACCTACGACTATATTATTTCATGTTTTAACTTTTATTGTGTAATGAAACAAAAGTGGAACAATTTGTTATTCTTTTGTAAAATTAATATAATCCATGGCAGTGTAGAATTCTGTTTTAATATTTCTAATCCAGTGTCCATGTTACTTTATGCACTCTAATGTCTTTCTAGTTTCCAGGGTAGCTGGCAAAGCGGATACGATTCCAGTTTCTACATGGATCATGGTAACCGGTATCCAATATCAGAATTTCTTCAATCAAACAACAGAGTAATTAATACAGTGGTAATTTACAATGTTTGGTCTTGATTTAACAGTTGGTTTCAAACATACATCTGTGCTCTGCTATCATGGGAAATTCGGTTGGGATATAATAAAAGAAAAAGAAATACCCTCTTGACTTGCTTTCTTGTTTTATGAGCCCGATTTGGATAATAATTTGATATGCCAGATGCATAGAATTACTATTTTACTCAAAACTGGTGTGTAAAATGTATATGTTTCTTTGTAGGCCTTCTATTTACGAGGGTGTCTATTTGCATTATTTATGTCTGAATTATTTGGTAAAAGGATTGTAATGGAATTTTACCAACGTTATCCAGACATTGATATGGAGGGTATGTTTTGAATTTAAAATTTCTTCAACCTCTTTAGTCTACTCACTGTTAGGAGTAAACTTGTAATTTTACATACAAAATGACTGGAAGAAAAGTTGCCAGTCATTTTGATTGTAATTTTACTCCAAAGTGTGTTTTAACAATGGTAAAAGTAATAATAATTTTTTAAGTAAATAAACACGTTTGTATGTAAGATTACATTCATAATCAAAATTGATTTACTGCTAATAGTAAAAATATCGGTTTCTCTTTGCCAGTGATACAGGTCGGCGGGCTGGTAAGCAGAACAGGAGGTCGGAACAATAAACCGACCACTGGCCATGTACGTTAATGATAATAGCCTACAAAGGTCCTTTTCGTTAATTTTGAATCTAAACTTATGTTTGATTAATCGTATTAATAAATCCAGGGGAAGACGGTGGTGTAATAATAAACTGTACAATAAAACAGTACTGTGACAGAGGATCAGAAACAGATACCATCTATTTCAAACGACGAAGACGTTACGCCCAGAAAACGACTATCATTAGAGAAAAAACTCGATCTGAATTGAAAAAAATTCGCAAAAAGAGTCGAAACTTGAATGAGAAATACCAGATGAAAGGTTCGTTCTAATTCTCGATATGGAATTAGGGGTTGGTATCATTAAAATACAGACCTGGATGTTTCGCTTCGTGTAATTTCTGCATCTTACTACACTAACTTGTCATCCATGATCTGATGAGAAAAACGTCTAATTGTTTAATATCGAGCTGGGTTATCTGTTTTTCATAATTAAAACTCTTGCCTCCCGTTCTTCTGAAATTTAACCCTATCAGCTAGTCCAGTTGACGTGTAGACGACGGAATCTCTTTAATTGTGTACTTTGTACTAGTCCACATAAATATATTAAGTACATGTATTTATTTCAGAAAAAAAGCAATAAAAGATATAGGATGTAAAGAAATCTTAATTGGTGAATTGGAATTCAGGCGGACCGCCATTTTAACTCACCTGACCCAACTTAAATATTACGTCATACACTCTCGAAGTGAGCTCGAGACTCAACGAAACAGGAACAAGGCAATACCCGACACGATTGATAATTATGGCAACCTTGTTTCAACATCACTTGTTAATGCACAAATGATCTATTAGCTAACTGAGTTGCACTTGCAGGAAAAAAATAAATTTTTGATCTAGATGGTTCGTTTAATGGATAGGTTCGCCATTTTCGTGGGTTTACTTGGGTCTTGAATATATGTAAATAGTCTTCAAAAGTACTAGAAATGGACGAAAATCGCACAATGTCTTCAAAAATACCTCAAACTGGGAACGTCTCCTATTTCTATATAACAGTCTTACGTAATGACGAGTCGTCTTTTTAACTTCCTAACGTGGACGGTGAGCTGTAAATTCCCGTCTCTGAGACTAAGGTACAATGGGCCAAACCTGTCCCTTTAAGGACCACCGCTTTACAACATAAAATAATTTTGGAAGACATAACTTAATATTTCTGGATAAAATCAAAATGTTCATGGTATAATGGTAACAATTAAAAACCAGAGACACTCGTGGCACAGAGTGGGACTTTGCAAATGTAGCAATTTGCTAAAGACCCTGAAAAAATCAACCATCGACGATAATTGGGTCAAGCGCAAGAACAAGTCTAAAGTTGAGAAATTTTTATTTTTTGGAAGATTCTAATACCGGAAGTAGACGTCAGACCTCACAAATGAAAGTATCAGCAGATAGCCAAGGTCAATGACCTTTGATCTTGTAAAGGAGGTCTAAAAAGGTCAAGATCAAAAGATATCCGTCATCAAAATTTCTAATTGCACACGACTATAAAACCGGAAGTTGACATAAGACAGCAAATATAAAAGTATAAATAGATAGCCAATGCCAATGACGTTTGATGTTAGAAAGGTCAAGGTCAACAAAGGTCAAGGTCAAAATTTGAAAATTTTGAATTTCCAAAGCCTGTCCTTTTTTTGAACTTCGAAGCGGAAACAACCGAATTTTTAAGACAAAGTGGCTCAATATATGAGGTAATTGTATGCAAAGTTCCATTTTGAACAAATGTATACTTTCCAAGTTATGCCCCTGGCCAAAAATGTCAATAATGAGTAATTTAACCCGGATGTGCCACGCCTACTTCAATTTTTTTTGCATAGGTTAATTGATATTTAGAATGTTACGTTATGTTCGAAATGTAAAGCTCTTACATAATATAGGTCAAAAGATATAGGTCAACAAAAGTCAATAAAGGTCAAAATCGAAAAATGAAAAAATCCAAATGTTAAAACCCGTTCCTTTTTTGGAACTATAAGACTGAAACAACTGAGCTGTTAACACAAACTGGCCAAAAGGATGAGGTAATTATGTGCAAAGTCCCTTTTTGAACAAACGCATCCTATGCGAGTTATGCCTCTGCCTCTAAATGTAAACGATTAGTAATTCAACCCGGATGTGCCACGCCCACATAAGTTTTTTTGTTATAAGTGAATTCATATTTAAAGTGTGTACTTGTATTCCAAATATCAAGGTTCTACATCAAATAGATCATAAGATATACATATACCAAGCTCAAAAAGACGCAAATATTGTAAAAAAAAAAAACTCAAATTTGAAAAAATCCCGAATTTCAATTTTGCTTTAAAATAACGATTGTTATATATCTATGTAAAGTGCATGAGAAGCACATTAGGAAACCGATAATATTAATCCTCTAGGTTAATTAGGTCACGTGCTAGAGCAGTCCAAAGTTGCGAATTTGGCTTTTTACGGATAGCTATAAAACCGGAAGTACATGTCGGAGGTCAAAGGTCAAAGTATCAAATGATAGCCAAGGTCAATGACCTTTGACCCTATGAAGGTCAAGGTCATCAAAGGTCAAGGTCACATGGTGTGATCGTTTAAAGCTTTAAAAAATTTCAACCGGAAGTTGCAAAAAAGCAAAAGCGAAATTCAAAATTCGGCTCCCAATGTTTTTTGCGCAACCGATTGCAGAATACATTCACATCAAATTTGAGCATATCAACTTTTACCCTGAGGCCCCATTTTGAGTTTTACAAAAGTGTGTTTTTTCAATATGGCGGCGAAAGTATCACTTCCGGTCTGGATTTTATTTTAAAATCGGCCATAAAATTTTATTTGCCAAAGATCAGCCAAATTTTGTTGACCTACATAAATTACACCGGAAGTTATTCAACCGGAAAGTTCAGTCGCTTTCCTGTTGAAAATCGGAAATGACGTACAAAATTTGAATGTATCATATTATTAACATTAGTGAAGTCTCTTTGCATTTAAAATTTCAGATCAATCGATGCAAAAGCAAAAAAGTTGCAAAAAAATCGAAATATTTGATCGAAAAAAGTGAGCGACGAAATTTCGTGATTTTTCAAGTGCTATCAGGTCAGAAATTACAGGTAGATTTTAAAAATGAAAACCCGAAGAAAATCGATGCAAAAATGCGCCTTCTAGAGCCGATTTTCGACTTTTTGCACATGTTAAACTGTGGCACTTCCGGTTTTGCAAAAATGTTCCAATTTATATTTATGCACATCGACATGGACATCGAATGGACATTTCGATAACAAACTGGGACTTTGCTGAAAGCAAAGTCCCACAAAAAATTAATGATATGTTTGTGAACATCAAAGTATGACCATCAATGTTACTGATCATAGATAGGATGCAAGGGACTCACACCGAGCCCTGGATGTAGGAATAGGCTTTTTCAAATCTAAAACTTCTGAGAGTGGCTACCCAAATTCAGAATACAACAGTGAAATAGCTCTACTTCCAGGGCACAGTCCGTATTCCCTGCAATGTGTGCACTTATATGAAACATAAAAGTAGAAATTTATAAATGATAAACAAAATTGCCAACCTGGACCCCAAACCAAACTCTAAAACATTAAAAATCACGAATCTGAAAATAGACCTAAATGGATAAATTGGGCACATGTATGTAAGATTTGACTGCAGAGCTCTTCCAGCGCCCCATTCTCTGAATAGCTTCCTCAGAAAAAGCTTTTGAGGCAGCCCCTATTCGGAATGAGTGCAGTTTATAAAGAGCAAGGTTCAAATCTAGAAATAAAATCAATTTACGAAGGTAAGAGTTGACAAAGTTATAAGTTACAGGGGCTCCACCATGAAACTGAAAAAAATGGTCTAGATGCATGGGACGAGCTTGTAGATAAGCCAACATCGCACAGGGTGCGCAAGTAATGGAACTATTCACTGAACACTCACAATTTATGACAATCAAAACAGGACCATCTGTTGTCTTAGTGTTTAAAATGGTGAAGTGAAATTTGTACTTAAGACAATTTATTACTGTCAACATTAAAATGAACAGAGGATGTTTGTATCACATTTAAAGCTGCATTGGCAGATTTTAACACTAGTTCACCAATCCGAAAAAATCCTGCAAATGCCAAAGCAAAAACGGCCTTCAAAACCAAACAATGAAATTTGAACGAAACAACTAATGGAATTGCTGTAACCAATTTGAATAAAATTATATGAGTGATAGGTAACCTAGAGTCTGGAGAACCATGTAGACGCTTTGCACCCTTTAGAAGATTTTTCAGCATACAGGAATTTATAGTATCAGGAAAACCCTGAGATTTCTGAACATAGGAGATAGATGAAGCATGGTAGCCAAAGAGCTAGGTGAAAATCCAAATTCAAAAAGGAATGTCATTTGATTACAAATCAAAGAGTTAGGGATTGGAAAACATGGTTCTAAATCTTTACTTTTACAAAAATCAAGGAATTTTCTCCAAGTCCTCACATAAACTGACCTAGAAGATGGAGCTAAAATGCTTCATTAAGAAGAGCAGTTGCACCAGAGCTTAAATCTTTAACACAGCTGAATCTATCCTCTGAGGTGTAGGGTCTAACCATGGTGCCCAAGCTCGAGCCAGCTGAAAGTTAAATCGAGATAAATGGTCAGCAACCAAATTGGATTTACCTGGGATATGTTTAGCACCGAGCAATATATTATGTTTGCTCGAGGCCATGACCAATCTACGGACTAACTTCATTAGTGAAGAACAGGGTGACGTAGCTTTATTAATAACGTACATAACATTCGTTATCTGTCAGACCTTATGGTTTTTAAGGAGATAACCCCAATGTTCAATGGCTAAAACAATTCCTTGACATTTATAGAAAGGGTTTTCATTTCTTGAGGCCACTCTCCATAAAGCCATTTGGATCCTAAGACTGCAGCATAGCCTTTGGTTGTTGCCGCATCTGAGAACATCTTTATAACATCAGATCCTACCAACTTGTCATTCAAAAACATTGATCTGCCATTGAAGCTGGTCAATAAACTCAGGCCAGATCCTCAAATCGAGACGAGCTGAATTGGTAATGACGATGGCATCATTTGGATTAGGGATATTCAAAGTGAGATCATAAAGACGCATTAGAAAAGTTCTGCCAGGAACAACTTCTAAAGTTGCAAAATTAAATAGACCAAGAAGTGAATGCAATTCACGAAGGGTGATTTTATGTCTTTTAAGAGTGTTATATAATCATGTTCAAATTTTTGATACTTTCTCTAAAGACAAACAGCTGGTCATATTAATGGAATCGATTTCGATACCATATATGGTGATAACATTGACTGGACCTACAATTTTGGATTTTTAAATAGGACACCTGAGTAATCGGATAACTGAAGGAAAGAGTTGAGAGACTGTAAACATTTGGTCGAATCAGGAGGGCCAGCAAAGAAAAAATCGTCAATCCTGTGACTTACAGAAGCTTCAAATTTATATTGCATAATCCAATGCAGAACCGAACTGAAGCGCTCAAATGTGTGACAGCTCATGCTAAAACCCAGGGAGGCACATGTCTGCAAAATAATAAACATTGTCATCATAAGAAACAGAAAACCCTAACAGACTATAGTCATCTGGATGGATTGGCAAAAGCCGATAGGCATTCTCAAAGTCTGCCTAAGCCATTAAAGCTCCTTTACCCATTGTCTTAACAATTTTAATAACATCATCAATGGTATCATAGCTTACTTCAGTGTAAAAAGAATCTATACCAGAATCTATGGAATCACCAACAGGGAAGGATAAATCATGAATTAAGCGAAAGCTACCTTTCTCTTGTTTGGGAACAATTTTCAGTGGTGAGCAATGGAAGTCAGGGAATGGAGGTTTAAGAAAAGGACC